GGATTTCACCAGTGTCTACTGAAATGACAAATACCACCCCTATTTTGGAGGAGTGGCCTCTTTTCTGCCAAGTACCATCCACTGAAACTGCAACTCTAGCAATAATTGTATCTTCATCATTGTCCTCAATGTCCTGAGGTCGTTCTGTGGCAACTTTATCTTTCAACCGGTTTGCTGCATCTTTCATAATTTTCTCTGCATTGCTTTTTGCTGCCTGTTCGATCTGTTTTAAATGTTCATTGTATGCCTTTTTTGCAAGTGGTGGAGGTAAATTCATTCCTGCACAAAAATTTGCCAATCCCGCATGGCCAAACTGATGTGAAGACAACACAGCTCGGCGATTCACTTAACTTCACGAGGACCACCACCTTTACCACCCAGACGCTTACTGGTTGACAAAGGGGTCACTACATCACAGGCTGAGCACTTCAGGAATAGTGATTCACACAATCCTTCTCTCTCGTTATTTTTTTGATAAAGTTGCAGTTTCGAAGAAGCCAAACGGCATGAACTGCATATTGCAGCATCTGATATGCAGTCATTCAACAGAACAGCATCCTGTACTTTGAATCCTGTTGCAATTTCAATGTTTGTTCGGCATCCAAGTCCAATTTCTTTGGCTTGTTTGCGAGTCAGAACACCTCCACTGCTTTCAAATTCTTGGAAAGAACTGTTCAGTAGCTTTTTCTCTGACATATTTTGAATATCTGGAACTGAACTTCGAACGGAGGAATCACTAACAGCAGACGAAGTGCTGGGAATACAATGTAGAGCAGTCACGCCATCACCCAAGTGGTCGGTCTTTTCCTGACGTCTTACCCCAGAAAAACCCTTCCTTTTCTTTCTTTTTGTCGATCTAAACTTTCTTTTATCCATCGTACTTTTATCCAAACAAAAAATCCCTTAGAAAACGGCTGGCAATTCACTCGATTGATAAGGATTAGATTCACTATAATTTCGCTCAATGGCTGCCACTTCGAATGTAAACACAAAACTCAGCCGAGTTTGTTAGTTGTTTCAGAGGCATGGATCGAGAAAGATATTAAATATTCATAAGGGGGGATGACTTGTTAACAAAGAAAGGGGGTTGGAGGAAAAAACAATATATTTTGGGTTTTTTGGGTTAAAAACCCATAGCAACCATAGTAAACAAAATTACCAAAACGGTTGCTATGCATAAATCTTCCAGGCCTTTCCATAAATTTAATGTTTTTGCAGAAACTCTTTACAAAACCGGAAAAAAAATTTGAGGCGCTGAAACTACAATAAATGATGGACCAAATTATGTAAAAATAAAAATTTTCAAAAATTGAACTTGCTTATGATAATTTAGGGTAGACTATCACCTTAATTACTGGGTGCCATGTACAAAAATTCTGTATATTCCTAAACAACATTTTGCAATAGAGAGTCAAAATGTTGAACAATGTACTGGTTCATTTTAACTTTTAAATTATTAAACATAATTTATGTATAAGTTCTTTGTAGGTTTGCATGACGATAAATCATATAATACTATTGCTTGTAGAACTGACCCACGAAAATTTATTACTGCAAAGCTTTCGATCCGTAAGCCCGAATCTTCATCAGTGCTAATATACAATAGTATTATATAATTTATATAATAATACATAAAAAAGTGTCTTAAAGAAATTATGACACAACTATGAATCTCGCGATGCATGATTTGTGATTACATAAAGCGGTTTTCAAACAAAGCGTGAACATCGTTTATATTAGGAAAATCATGTAGCTGAGGTGAAAGAATTAAAATTGCATATCATTAATTTAAAGTATTCAACTGTTCGATTATTATTTTTGTTTCGCAGTCACACAGAACTGTCTATTAAATAACTAACATATTTTGTCGTCTGTCTAGAGCAAAATAAAGAAAGGTACACTTTGAAATTTAAAGGCAATTTCGAGCAACTTTTTTGCATATTCATACGATGGCTGAACAATGCAGTCCGGACGCTTCACTGAAATCAGCTTTTGCTGATGGGGCTAGCGTCTTTACATAAAGTTTGGAAAAAAAGTGTAATTTTGTGCCCTTCCCCTTCCCTCGCAACAACAAAATCTTCGCTACATCCCTGGCTCAGAGGCGTAACGCTCATTGGGTAGGTTTATAGTTCAAAAACTAAGGGCCCCTGACAGTCAGTGGCTCCATGGGCGGACGGGAAGGAAAAAATTAGGGGGGCGGAAAGAAATTTGCCCGACTTTTTCGGATTGTGCCCGCGTTGTCAAAAAAATTTTCCGGAGAAACTTTTCAAAATTGTTGTCGTCGGGGGTGGGGGGTGATTCCTATTAGATAGCATAGTTCTCACAAAATTGACAGAATTTCCCACAAAATTGACATAAGTTGTCCATCTATTTTTATAATAAGCCAATATTGCCCGACTGGCTTTGTTTGCCCAACAAACTAGGGGGCTGTAGCCCCCTCCGCCCCCCCCCTCCCGCCCGGTACGCCCATGAGTGGCTCCCATCAGCCACGGCCTATCGCCCAGAAAATTAGAAAACGTAAACTGTTACTGTTACTGTTATACTATTACTGTTGAACAGGGGCCCCCACACCATGTCAAAGGGCCCCCTCTTCCTCCGTTAGTGCTTATGACACGAAATTTTAATTTTCTTGATTGCATTGCAACAATCACTTAAAATCAGTATATAACCTTTTTGGTAAATATACAGCTATTTCAATTAAAGTTGTCCACGAGCAAAGCGGAAAAGTCGGGTATGAGCGCGAAAGGCTGCTGGGAATCCCTAAAAAATTAACGAATTTTCATAGCGATTCCCAGCAGCCTTTCGCGCTCGTATTCGACTTTTCCGCTTTGCTCGTGGACAACCTTAATTGAAATAGCTGTATACCATAGATAGATTTGTTATACTTGTAGCTCTCTTCCGTCCCGAGATATTCAACTTTGTTTTATACGCAAATATCATCAGTATGACATCATACTGCATCTAATGCATGAGTGTCTATGACAGAATGTTTATCTTGTGGGGTAATTGACGATAGCAAATATCTAAAATTGTGCTTATATGTGCATACACTATTTAATAATTCAGAGACCTCCGTATCTGTGTGTGGAATATTATACCAATTTCAAAATTAACGATGCTCTTCAAAAATCGTATTATTCAGTGCGGTATCATACTGATGATATTTGCATATCAAACAATGTTAAATATCTCTGGAAGGAAAAGAGCTACAAATACTGTACCAAAGAGGTTACATGGTCGTTTTAATTGATCTTTGCAATGCAATCAAGAAAAGATTGGGTAGAATTTTGTGTCATATGTTTTTGCAACTTATTACTAATACTTTACAATTCTTGTCTCACGATTCCATGTTTTATATGATAATAATCAAAGTCCATATTCGAAACAAAGTTTCCAGGAAACTCCTTCTTCGTACCACTGTTTAGTTCACATAACTTTAATTTCTTAGAAAAATTGAACGACTTGCATCTCTTGTCCAACTGACACACCATGAGACATTCGTAGGATTCTTCAAAATATTCCTCCGTGTGGAACGTTTTCCCGGAAAGGGCATGGTGACGAGTCGATGACGTCATCATTGGCTGAAACCCGCGCTGCAGATTAACAGCTGTGAATCAAATGTGAAGTAAATTAGAAAATGCAAAAATAGTAAATCCAAATATCTCTTTTACCGCGGGAATGTAGCCGAGAGTAGAATATTTAAAATATGCATATCAAATTAACCAGCTGTCGAAATCGACCTCGTACCCAGGTCTTTCCTCTTGGCGAGGGGAGAAAAGACCCTGGTGGACGCCGGTCGCATGAGCTGCCAAAACCTAGCAGATTTTTAAATAGCAATCCAAGATGAGGTCAATAAATATTTTATGTTTGGATGATTTTTATAGTTTACTTTATAATTTGCGTTTTGTATGATTGTCGTAAAGGAATCAAATATAGTTAATTAGAAATCTGCTAGATTTTAGCAGATCACGTCACCAGGGTCTTTTCTCCCAAATAGGAAAGGCCCTGGGTACGAGATTGCTGTCGAAATATTTGTAAAACAATTAGTTTACGCACGATTAAATTTTGGTTTTCACACTCAATACATAATCATTACAACTTACCATTTTTCATGCAAAATGTCAAATGGGAAACATTTTTCATAGACTTGAAATTGTAGACGTAGTAATGTGCACATCTTCTGACAAAGATATTTAGTGTCCTATGACAGTCTTGTCCTTGGTCTTTGATACACAGTTGCCGGGATACGACACCATCTTTTACATTGGGGTGACCGCCCTTTAACCAGGTTGTACACGAAGGAACCATTTTGGATGGGCGTGCGTCACGGAACTAAAAATATAAATTCTTGCTTGAGAGGCTAAACCTTTACCTCTAGGTAATGAATCTCGACAAGCAATGTTCAGGCTTTTAGCTATCCAATGATACCTTTTTGTATCATTATATCATTTTGTATCACGAGAAAATGGCCAAATACGAATCGAATAAATATTGCCGGTGGAAATTGCATTTCTCCACCGTTGGGAGTTAGGTGAAAAACTATCGAGAGTAAATCCAATTTTGTTCTAAAATTAATGAATTTTAATTTTATTTATTAAATTTTAATTTCATATGGTCACTTCTGTTTTAAGTTTATTGTTTAGCATGACACATTAGAGCATAGCTAGTTTTTTTCCTTCTGCACTGCTTTAATAATGCACATAGATGGGAAAGTGTGATTTCGACCAGTAATAGACCATTCCCCTTATAACCCAAATTTTGATCTAGGCAAGTCTAGACAAATATTTCATCACAGCTTGAAAGAGGACAACAAAATTAGTAACATTCTAAAGTTTCGTTGCGAAATGTTGTAAAATGTGGATAATATAGGCTTGCGAAATTTGCAATTTTCAGTCATTTTAGATTACAAACGGGAATTGCAGCCCCAACACCCGAATCGGATGCCAATTTCCCGTTTGTAATACAAAATGACTGAAAAATGGCAAACTTCGCAAGGCTATATTATCCGCATTTTACAAGATTTTGCAACAAAACTTTGGAATATTACTAATTTTGTGATGCTCTTTCAAGCTGTGATGAAATTGTTGTCTAAATCGAAATTTTAGTTATAAGGGGAAAGGTCCATTTTCAATCATTTTTGGTTGAAATGATGCAAAAAAGGGTGTCGTCCTAATCTTTATTATTAAATATGAAAAAAATAACCATGTGCGCACAACAGCACTCTAAGACTGGATTACCTTTTTTATAAACTTGTATAATAGGTACTTCAGTTTGTTACCAAAACAATAGACTGCGAGCGGTCTCTCATTTCCGCAGGTTTAGCTTCCCGGGCGTACGAGGGGAAGGAGGGACTGCTGCAACACATCAAGAAACGAAATACGTCCACTTTTCGCTCTTGTCAAGTTGACTCCGCCTTTGCATAAACCTTTCTTATATCCATTTAAATCTATCCAATAGGAACCGTTCAGTAATGTCATGTTTATTTTTAAAATCAACATTCAGTCTGGGAATTATTTATAGCATAATTACTACTTATCAGATTTGATCGACATGCAGGCACATCGATTTCGACGAATGGGAATTTTGCGTTGTGTGGACAACGCGTATTTCGTTTCTTGAATCTTGATGTGTTGTGAGCAGGGCCCTCTTTCTCCTGAGAGACTTCTCGCGGTCTACCCCCAAAAAGTGGTTCTTTTATTCGGATTTTTACTGTATTACCTGAAGATCAGTATGTTTTTGTGCGTCAGTGAAACGATAAAACATGTTTCCTTGCAGTTCTTGATTTAGCCCTGTGCTCGGTCGTTCATGTTGAAACTGGAGTTCACGATTTTTGACACATGCTCGCAATTCACCTGTGTTTCAAAAGAAAAGCTAATTAAGCATTATTCTGAAAACAAGAACATGAAGAAGATTCTCAACCTTATTAATTTAACCTTTCTAAAGGATGATAATTACAGGGTGCAATAATTCAAATTTTTTAGTCGTACGACTGGTATATAACGCCACAGATTATTGCCGCGTGCTTGTGCTAGTAGTTAGGGTCGACCGGCCATGGGGTTTTGCGTATACAGGGTCTATAATGGGTATTTAATTCGAGTATACTGCATGTATATTTACTTGAATGTTATGACTAATTTTTAATTAGGTTCTGATTGCTTTAGGTAGCCTATTATGTAACATTTTGACTGTAATAATATAGGTATTTTGATCCATATTTATCATGTATTTAGGATACCACGACCCCCCCCCCCTGGCTGACGTCTAGTAGTTTATACGATTATTTTTGGCATGATGTATTACAGTAAAAAAGTAAAGATAATGAGAATAATATTTTCAATTTTGAATAAAATAAAGAAATAGCGCATTAAAGCGACTTCAAAAACTCATTAATAATTCATGAGGAAAACACAAAGAAAAATCGTAATTAAGCGTGTCGAATCTTTATATGTGATAAAGATTTCCCTTGATTTACATAAACTTTAACTTTGATTTTCACGACTTACACAACGTATTGTTTGAAAATTACTTCGCCAATGAAGTTACAAGATTGATTGTTTTTGAATTTATATTTCGCAGTGCGTGTTTTATCAGACCTAAAGATACTCGGCTTCGCCTCGTATCTTTATATCTGATAAAACACTGCTGCTCATGTTTTAAGAGGGTCCTGAAGGGGTAAAATGGGAACTGGGATTTGTTTATTTTTGGCGGTGGGAAAATGGGATTTCATGCACTGGGACTGGGATTCATCATCAAAAAAACAATAGAAAATGGGAATGGGATTAAGATTTGAGCAGGACAGCCACTGAGATGATGGGATTTGTGCTCAGGACAATGGGATTTAGTCAAATTTTGGGCTGGGAAAAGAGAATTCGACCCCACGACCCCCCCCCCCCCGCTTCAGGACCCTCTTTTAAATAGTACTTCAAATATCGGCGAGAGTTTGTACATCAGATAAATATCGGATGCGAATGTTTAGTCTAGTACTAGTACATATAAGAAGAACATGAAGGCGAAGAAATAAATATTTTAGCAAGAGAGGGAGCAAAATTCAACCCACTTGTCACTTCGAGTTTATACAATCTGGCATCAAATCCATTGGAATTATTGGCCCAGCACTCGTAGACACCACTGTCATTCAATTTCAAATTCATCAACTGTAAACTGCCCGAACCACTTTTAGTAACCACTTTATCTTTAACCCAGGAGATCAGTGGTGCTGGATAACCTTCGGCGGCACACTCCAAGGTGATTGAACCGCTCACTTTTGACCATGCGTAACGGTTTTTCCTGTGGTCAAGTATTTTTGCTGGGAAAACAAATGTATAAATAATTGTTGTTAGTGTGTATATGATAGATGATCCAGCTATAGACTAAATTTTGATCTGGCCAAGAAGAACAAAATCCATCACCACAGCTAGAAAGAACATGTTAAAATTAGTAAAATTGCCTGAAAGTTTGGCCGCGAAATGTTGTAAATGAGGAAAATATAGCGCTACAAAATTTGCAAATTTTGTATTAATTTGTATTACGCGAGGGAGTTCCCGTGCGTAATACAAATTACTGCAAAATTTGCAAATTTCGTAGGGCTACATTTTCCTCATTTTATAACATTTCGCAACCAAACTTTGCAATTTTACTAATTTTACCATGCTCTTTCTTGCTGTGGTGATGGATTTTGTTCTTCTTGCTTAGATCGAAATTTATCGCTATAGCTAGAATCATATTTTGGCATTACTGTAAAACTTACATAATTTTTAACTAGTTACAGTTACATCATGTATACTATCTATAGTTTCATATAATAACGTTAAGAATTCAAGTGCTTTCATTGGTCGAGAGCCATGATCAATATATTAGAGGACGGACGCACGGAATTACGTCACACGTGACGTAACTAAAGGTAGCCAATAGCATTCTCTCATCCATTCATCAGCCGAAATACAACATTTTAGAACTGAAAATACGCGGAGTGATTATAACTAGAGAATACTTATGATTTATATGTGGTTTACAGGTATAAACTATTATAAACTGACCGTTGAGAAAGATCGTGACTCTATTTTTACGACCATGCATTACGACCATATGAAAACCAGGCTTGATACTAACTAATTGTTGTTTGTTAAATCTCGTGAAATCAAAGATATAGAAATTTGAAACCAACGCCCCAACCTGATGCAGTATTGATCCTTTTTCTCTTGTAAGTGTATCCTATGGGTTCGAGATCGTGTATCAACCTTGCAAGCAATCACTTACGTTTCGTTTCTTCGTAAACTCCAACTTCAGAAATACCAAACCGTTTGCCTGGTCCTTGATCTAGAAACACGTGGTTACCGGGAATCCTATCTGGTGTACAGTAGAATGATTTTAATAAGAAGCCAGTCATATCTTGCATTCCAGGGACGCACAGAGTGCTCTCGGTGAATATATCCGTCATGCCTAAGGAAATTAGTAGAGTGAGGATGACATATGTTGTGTACTGACTCTAGTTTACAGAAGGGTGGAATACCCATTACGCACGCTAAAATCTCACATCTTTTAGCAAGTCTGCCAACAAGCCGCCAACGAGATGTGTTCGCACTGCTTGTCCCAAGTTGCCAACAAGTATGAAACAACCTGTTAAGGTTACAGGATACCCTTTTTGGCGTTTTGCGGAAAATCGCTACTGCGCGCTCAATATCAGACCGATTTTCATCAAATTTTCACCAAATGTTCTTCAGTGCATGCAAAATATGGTAAACTTGTAAAATTAACAAACAATAAAATAATGTAAGAATTATTCAGGAAAATCTTAAATCGCGGTACCGTTACGCTTTTGAGTTGTGCTCCTGCTCGTTTTAAGTTATATTTATGAAAATATCATTTTTATACCTTAAAATAGTTGTTCTAAAAAATTGTGTTCGGAAATTTTTGTTTATTTCGTCATTCCGCTGATATGGCGACTTTATTTTTAAAATATCCAAAATTAGAACAAAGCCTAACACAGTTTTGAAACTGACGTATTTAGCTATGTCCTGTGAAAATTTGGGAAAAATTGGTTAAAATCCGCAGGAGCACAACTCGTTTGAAAATCGGTAATTACCGTAAACTTTTTCGGGAGAAAATTGAATTTGAATATTACATTTTCAATGTTTTTCTTATTGCAGCGAAATGTATTTTATTAAATAACTCTGCGAGTTTTCAACATTTTTCGTTCAAACTTGGTCAGATAGTAGAACTAGTCTAATGCTTTCATGAAAACCAATAAACTTCGGCGGGTCATCGTTTGATGTGTTCCATAAGTAGGTTGTTCTCCGGAAATTTCGCACGGGGCCCCAATGTGAGTTAGGATTGAAAAAATATTGTATTTATTTTTAAAAACTTACTTGAATCCCTTGATTATCCATTATTTCTTCTCTCGAAGTTCTGTAAACCTTTTAAATGGCTCGGACTCATTATACTTGACGTCACGAGAACAACCTACTTATGGAACACATTGTGCGAAAAAACCCTTCGAGTGTTTCATGTAAAAACATACGAAAAATCAATCGTTTATCGAATCTACTACATCAGTTGTGAAGATATATCCAAAAAGACATAGAATCTGCAAAAAAATATTCGAAAACACAAATAAGTTGTGAATTTTAAGGCATTTAGAAATGTCATCTAGTCGAAGTTTCAACCCTTTAGTTTAATTCTCCCTTCTTTCGCCGCCTTCGTCTTTTCGCGCCCGCGGTCCTTACTTGTCAGCGATCATCTATACTTCATGAAACGTCATGTAGAGTGATAGTATAATGACTCCAAGCAGTTTAAAATGTTTACAGAATTTCGAGAGAAGAAATAATCGATTATCAAGGGATTCAAGTAGGTTTTTAAAAATAAATACAATATTATTTCAATCATAACTCATAGTGGGGCCCCCTGTGTTGATACTTGATCAGATTTGTTGCAAGGTTGTTCCAACAAGTCCGATACAGTCATGATATAACAATATTTTTACAACCTTGTGTCATCATAATAAAGCACAAAACAATATACACTCTCCGAAAATTGTAAACATTTTCATTCTTTACGTTTCGACCATTAATTTAAGTCTTCAGAAGAAGAATGCCACGTATATCTTGAAAAGCCAATTGGCAATGTTTTACATCAAACTGTTGAGGAGAGAAGTGTCAATG